AATAAAAACAACTGGTTTGTGAGTACCGAGTTATATTTCTGCAAGAAATTGTCCTGCAAAATTCATTTAATGTCAAGATCATAAAATGTATACTTTGTGTTTTCTTAGTAATGAAGTGGCAGCCAATGAATCGTCTTCGCCTCTCTAGCAATAGAGAGCAATAGATTGCTCACCTATTCCCATACAATCACCTGGAAATATGTAACATTTTTTTCTGTTTAAGAGAAGTGACTTACAAAAAAAATTTTTCAGGAGAGTGGTTTTAAGTTGAGTGCAGTCGATTTTACAGTGTTCTACTCTGTAAAATGACTGTTTTGTCATTGTTATTATTATTATTATTATTATTATTATTATTATGTAATTTTTCCTACTATAAAATATGCTATTTTTATCCACCTTCATATTTGTTTACCTAACAAATTATTTTTGAGATGTAACTTCTTTTTCATATTAATGATTGCCGTTTTATTGTTCGTTTTACTTATTATCCATTCCAAATTGTTTTAATAATTTAGCAAATTATTTCTTGTTACTTTGTATTTTACTATCACAATCAAATGAAAATATTTGGTCACAAACTCAAATTGCAAATTTAGAGTGTGAATTGTATTCTCATTAATAAATAGCGTTTCAAACTGTAAATATCCTTGTTAATATTGTTACGAATATTGCATCACCTGCCGAATTCGCTGCGCGTGGATTGCGTCATCTGCCGGAGCCCCTTCCCTTCCCCCCGAACTGGACGGTTCCGGACTATCCGCGAGCCGCGGGGAAAAGCCCAGAATGTGCCTGGTGCCTGGAGACAAGCGCCGGCCAGGTATAAATGCGCCGCTGCCGGCGGCTGCGAGTCAGAAGTGAGTAGAAGTCAGTGGGTAGTAAGACGTCAGTGAGTAGCAGAGAAGCAGTCAGTCGTCAGTGTGTCCGAAGTGGGAAGCTGGCTGTGAATGTGCATTGCGGTGAAGAGTGTCATGGTTTGAACAGCAGGTCAGCTATTTGTGCTGAATTCTGCAGTGGAAGCTGAGCTGTAAGTGGGCATCGCGGTAAACCAGCATTGCAGTGGACCCTTGGTGTGCCCAGTGAAGTGTGGTCTGGCGAAAGGAATGGGGTCTGCGCAGGGGAATTAACTGTCTCTGCAGGAATTGGGTCAAGTGCAGTGACCGTGGACGTCATCGGACTGGCTGATACGTAGAAGTAGAAGAGAACAATATAAATAAATAGTGTGTAAGAAGTGAACGTAATAAATCATCAAGGAACGTGTCGTGGTAAAGAAAAATAATTAAGTGTAAATATCGTAAATAGACCACAGTAGATTTTAGTGTAAATGTCACGAATAAACCTTCTTTGTTTAAATATTGTGTTGGTTTTAATTCACCACGGAGAAACGTTACAATATATTTTGTAATTTTGTTCTGTAGGTAGACAAAATACCGAATTTTACAGAGATAGAAAAGGAAACTTCTATATTATTGTCCAAACAATTGCAAATGCCAAATTGATGATAATGGACATTGTTGCCAAGGTGCCTGGTTTCTGCCACGATCAGATAATTTTCAAAAATTCTTTTGTAAAGCTGAGAATATTTGACAATTTTCTCCTAACGTCTCTCCATAACCCATCAACTCATGCGGAAAACTTATACAATGAATCGCACATCAGAACAAGAAATGTAGAGATGTCATATGGTATGTGGAAAACCAAATTTCCAGTTTTATCCAAGAAAATAACTGTTCACTTGGCAAAAATACAAGCAATTATTGTTAAATAATATTGCTATTGATATGGATGATGGCCACTTTCAGGTACAAGACGATAATGATGATAATAATAATAATAAGAAGAAGAAGAAGAAGAAGAAGAAGAAGAAGATAAAGAAGTGAACACAAATTTGACTGTGTTTGTAAAGTTTTAATATGTTCAAAAATTAGGGGAAAAAATATGGAAGTTTGAAGGAAATACAAGGAAGAATGAAATGTAGCTGTAAAAGATGTGATAGAATTTCCGTACTACGAAAACGTTTTACGTTCACGTAAAACTACGTATTACGAAAATCATTTTTATTTGGATTCCATCGCATCGAGGCATTGCCGGAATATATTAGTTGATTAAGCAGCAAAAGACTATTGATTCACCTATTGAAGAGCATGTTGTTTTTCACAGTGTCATCAAAAAATAACTTCATTAAAGAAACAAGGATCTTCTTTGGAATATTGAATAGATCAAATCACCTAACCAACTAGATCAGATCAAACAAAATATTTTCGATGACCATCTTCTGCCCTTTTGACACATATTGTTCTGTTTCATTAACAAAGATATCCGCAAAAATATGGACTACCTCTCACTGTACCGAAACTTCTTAAAAACAAACATCACATTGAAAATGTATTTAAATAGTATTTAAAGGAAATTAACATGATCAACATGCTTTTAAAAATAAGAATTTGTTAAACACTAATATTATCGCTATGTAAAATGATGTATTGATGTAAAATAATGTTTTGTGATGCACAATATGTATTCTGATGATTGTTTATATTCTGTTGCTGTTAAATGTGATTGTTAATGGTCGTCATGTAATATTACACTTTTTTATTTATTATGTTTTTAATTGTGTATTTGTCTTAGTTTTAATTGTTATTGTGTGTTGTGTTGTACTAGTATACATTGTCTTTCGATGTGGTCGCTAATGACCTGGAAGCTCTTTAAATAAAGCTTAATTTAAAAATACAAAAAAACCCATCAGAATCAATGAATAAAGAAACAGGCAGAAAAACGTAGATCCATTCGTCGAAGTGAATCTCAGCCGTGCTCAATGTTCGGATGGCCGGCGGAAGTATCCGAATAATATCTCAAAACAAGTCAGTGAGGACGGTGAAGGCCACGGTTCGGACGAGAAATCACTAACGCCCTTCGGAAAAGTCTCACCGGAGGACGCGGCGGAAGACCCGAAAGGCCTGGACCGAAGGGGGCACCGAGGAGACCAAGATCATAAAGATCAGGCAGATCTCGCATTTTTAACGAAGGTATCTATCAGACACGTCTTTTCTAGCGAACTTCAGAGTGGATGAAAGCTTTGGCAAGCTAAATCAATAACAAAAAATAAAACCTGGCAGCTAGTGCCCCGATCAAGTGCCACAGATGAATCAGGGAGTCGATTTGTCCTACGGGACAAATAACAGTTTGGAGAAGCGAAAGGCAAGAATTGTTGCCAAAGGGTACTCGCAGCGATACGGCAGGGACGTTCGCCCCGGCTGCTCTTATCGATTCTATACGGCTGGCGGATTGCCTCGCAGCTCGAAATCAAAAGCATATTCTGCAATATGGCGTAGCAGCGGCACCTAAACGGAACATTAAACGAAGACGTATTTATGGACGTTCCGAACGAGATGGAAAAGATGCTTGAATATCCGGAATAAAAGTCACTTTCGTGAAGCTGTTCCAGACGCTGAGACTACACTGAAAGAGCTGTCGAACGGAGAAAATGTATGTCTTATCAAGAAAACTCTATAAGGATTAAAGGAGGCAGGTCGGGCTTGGCATGGAAAAACGAGCTGCAGATTTTATGAGAGAGATCTGTCATCCAAATAACGAACCCACACATCTCTCGCAACTAAGACTCAAGCAAATTGAGCGCTCAAGAAAATGCGGGACTGTTGACGCATATCTATTAATTACAGCTTCATCAAAACAGTATTCAAACAATTGAAGAGGAGAATGATTCTCTTCCAGAAAATACGGTAAATCGCACTCTGTCTCTCTCTCTCACGAACGAAAGGGAGATCTTTCTTTGACCAGTTCCTGTATCTTTTTAGCGCCTTATCTCTTTTTTGTCGCTTTCCGACTCCTGTTGCACCAACTACTATGATTCTCTAACACGTGATGTAGACAGAATCTATGTTTTGTGGGTTCTTGATATCGAAAAATCAAATGGTGGTAAAACGTCTGTCCGTCCGTCTGTTCCTCTGTAAACAAAGTTAGTAAATAAACCATTCAGATTATTGCCAAAATTCATATTCCCCGATGGAGCTGAACGAATTTAAGACCTCGTGATTTTGAAAGAGGTTTTGATTTTGGAGGCACTTAATATGAAGTCTCAATATTTTCAACATTTTCTCAAAACTACTCCAATTTTCATTTTTAAATTAAACTTTGTCCTCGAATAGCGTAAAGAACACTTAAAAGGTAAGATGAAGATCTCATTTTCATTAAAATATCTGATCGAAAACTGCAAAAGTTCAAAGTTTTATTTTATAAATCTACAATGTTGACGATAGTGCCTTGTTTCCTTCGCAAAATCTGTTCTTTAAAAACAAATTTTGAAACAGTCAAGTACAATTTTTCGAAAGTGTGAGTCGTTTTTGCATAATGTTGAGTGAAGACCTTCTGTAAGGAACCGAACTGCGCGTCCGGAAAGAACTACCACATCCTGAGGACGTGTATTCGCAATAGGCACGCCTCGGTTTCCCATGACTCATTTTGTGATGCAGCCTACGTCGAACTCGCCATCCAGGACGCGATCGACCGTCAGAGCCCGCGGCGGGCACCTTCGTCGCAGCCACGTTGCTTCTCTGCTCTCAACTCTAGCCGTCACCCGAGATATTGACGAGCCGTTAGACTATTTCACGGATTTTAATTAACTCGGGACCAATCGTCGCTTTTGCCTCAGATATTGGCGAACCGTTAGAAGTGTTTGGCGTATTTTAAGTAGCCCGAGACCAGCCCTTGCTTTTGCCCGAGATATTGACGAATTGTTAGATGTATTTGGCGTATTTTAAATTACTCGGGACCAGCCGAGAGTATTTGGCGTATTTTAAATAACCAGCGGGACTTTTGCTAGAGATATTGACGAAGCTTTAGACGTATTTTTCGCATTTTAATGAACTAAGTAGATTAATTAAGTAGAATCGTAAGTGGCATACAAACCGGGTGATTTTCACGAGGAGAAAAAGAAAAGATATTGCAAAATCATCCGTTCCGATCTCCATCCCTTGCCGCTGACCATGCACGTCCGTGTGGCGCTGTTGCTGTTGCTGGGGCTCCTGGTCAAGGCCCAAGGAGGCAGACCAATAAGGGTGCAGAAGTGCTGTGCGCAGTACGAGGTGCTGGCCGGCGACGGGCAGTCGTGCGTGGAGACCGACTGGGGCCGGAACGCCTCCTCTGCGCGCCGCGACGCCTTCGAGATCTTCCTGGCGGCGCCGCTGGACGAAGAGCAGGTGCGCCCCTGGCTGCCGCAGGGGCTGCCCGTGCAAAACATCACCGTGGTGGTGTTCAGCTCTCTGAGGCGGTACCCGAATACCGCGCGCGTTAATTCTTCTTCTCTCTGGGAGCAACACAAGCCTCCCAGCGACGACGCCTGGAAGAGAGAGGTCGTCTTCTTGGACGACCAATACATTGCCAGGCCCAGGCCGTGGGCGGGGCACAGGTCAGTAGGGAAGGGCGATTTAGTACAACAATCGATTATTTTATACGATTAATCGGAATCGATAATTTTTACAGCGATTAAGTTTTCCGATTTTAGATCGATTGTTTTAATTCAAATATTAATATTTTCAAGACGAGCAAAATATGAAAATAAGAAAACTTTTGAACATAAGAAACGGAATTAGTCTGTTTATCTCCAACTTCGATATATAGTGAGGGCAAACATACGCGATTTATTTCATGATAGTAAAACTAATAAAATGAAAAGTCACAATGTGGATTTTTACTATTTTAGTGATTAATATTCAGTATGTAATAAGAATGAGAATTGCTCATGATCTGGGCTGTCCGGGAGTCGCTGCGTCGAAGGCTGAGGTGACGAGGGTTCGACCAACATATCATGGTCTTCTTCAGCACCCTTCGACGCGGCGTCACCCGGACAGCCAAGATTATGACTAGCCTCGGAAGCGTACATCACCAGACAAAATTCCTAGAATCGTCCGCAACCATATCTATCGATATTTTACAATTATTGGTGTTACTGTTTCTAGAAATTCTCCGGCCATTTTCATTTTAATATGAGTTACAGTTTTGTCTCATGAGTACACATGTAGAATTAATGTTTTTTAAAGGATATACAAATATTATTTAAATCATGCCGTGGTTCCATAAAAGTACCGATAATCAACAGCGATGTGTGAAAACATTTTGAAAAAATGGAACCAAAAAAATGGCTTTCAAACTGTGTAATGCAAAATGACAATTTGTGGGAACACCACAAATTTCTAGATCCACTTACTGACGCACAATATTCGAAAACCGAATTCTATTATAAAGAGAATAAAACAGTCTGCTGAGGTAAGTTAATAAACAAAGTTTAATAAAGGAAATTTAACAAGGCAGAAAATTAAGAATGAATCACAGAATCGTAGAAGGTTATCTTAAAATAAGCAATGTTACTAAACGATTAATTAATTTACAAATTAAAAATTAATGATTTTACGCATTATTTAAAACTTGGAAAATTAATTGATTATGTAAGATTCAATAATTAATCCGGAACGATTAATCGAAGCTTATTACTCCAATAAAAAATCGAATATTATTTAATATTCTCCCGTCCCTACAGGTCAGCTAAATACTGCGTCGATGCGGCTCTCCCGCCGCTGCAGCCCTTTCTTCTGTTTTTCAAGACGCAGTGCACCGACGACGAATGCATTTCAAAGTGCTGCGGGAAAAGGCAAGTCTTGGTGAACAAGGACGGCTTTTGGCAGTGCGAAAACGATCCGGAAGGTTATTGGTCGCCTATTAAATCTTCATTGCGAAAGGTCTTAGACATTGATCCAGAGTTTCCTTACGAGGAACCATGGGTTACCGCTTACGCACTATGGTGCACACACCATCGCCGCGCGTCCCTTGAAGATCGTCCTGCCGGCTGGGCGCGCTATGAGCTCCGCCATTTTCTCTTCTCCTCCTGGAAATTTTGCGTCGACCACTACCGCGACAGCAGCGCTTTACATGAAGGGCTATTCTACTGCGAACATCCACGCATCGCGAGGGGAATTTACTGGCTGCTGCGACCGCTGTGTGTGGTCTCGGCGTTACTACTGGCCGTGGCGTTATTATCAATCGCATGCGACAGCGGCATGCGACGCAAGGTGCACGGGTGGTGTCTTGCTCACCACGCTCTGTGCCTCTTTGGATTCAACATGGGACAGGTGGTGTATTATTTGGCAATCAGTGACGAAATAGACATGATATTTATTGAAAAAATACCTGCTGACCTCCAAAGAACGTGCACATATTTAGGTGAGTACTTAAACGCAGCCTGCAGAATGGAGATTAGGTGGAACGGGGGATTGGGTAAATGACTAAATGTACTTGTTATACTAAAGAAATGGATTCCTATATCGCGTAAGATATGGATGTTTTCATTTGTGACAATGGCACTCCCAGTCCTTAGAGTATTATCTCTACACCTTAAAACTGCAATAAACCTCTGCCCTACCCGGTAAGAGGGTGTGCGATATTGGAGCAATTTGTGTGTAACTCAAGAACTGTCCTGTTACAATGCTATAGAATAGTGAGGTCAAGGTTGATGCCACCAGTGGTAGTCCGTGGCACGGCTAACACGACAAAATACCCCCCTCACACACACACACACACACACACACACACACAGTCGATCTCGCTACAAGAGAACAGTATGTAGTCAAAGTCGTCCTGAACTCTTTACACATGAAAAATTATTAGACAACATTATTTCGTCACTGATATATCAAACACCATATTTTTTGTGCCATTTTTATTTATATTTTTACTTGTATGTGTCTGTGCACGTTCTCTTTTCTGCATACAATTCCACTCAGTTTGAAAACGGGGGGGAGGGGTACTACGGTTAGTTTCCTTTCCCGACGCTAGTTGCGCTGAGATATAATTGCCATAATTTTCCATTACTAATACAAATAATATAAATAAGCTGTACTAAAATTGCTGAATTACATTTTAAGACTATCTAGGAAGCTATATTTTACTTCGGAGATAAAGACGTGTATTTGATACAATCAAGTTTCATGTATTATATGTTTTTCTATTCGATAATCCTTATAAAAGCAAAACTAGTAAGACGATTCACCAATCAATAAAAGCATATACAGATTTACAGTTCCAACTAGTTTCTAGTTTTACGTATGTTTTTGATTGTACGACTTGCAAAAACTCATTTTCCTGGACATACGTTATTTTCTATTGACGACAATGATTACGAACAATGTCATTGTATCGTCCGTCTTGCAAAAACTCTCTATTATGTAGTCAGAATTCACGTTTTGTGGGGCTTTCATTCCGAAATATTGTTTGACATAAAATAGCCTGCCTTTTATTCGATGGGTCCCTCCGTCTGAGAACATCGATAGCGGCGAAACTGTGAGCAGGATTAAAATGTATAATTCCCCATTGATCTGATGTCGCGTCTCCTTGAATTCGAAGGTGGTTAACTTTTTGAGGGTACTTTACGTGAAGTCTCAACATTTTCCAAATATTATGAAACATGTCTTCAATTTTGTGTCGGACAGAACAAACAACGCTTTTAGAACTTACACACGACTCATTTTGGTTGAATTTTCAAAAATTAATAAAGAAAAAAATTGGTACCTGCTTAGAACTACAGTATTGCAGTACTAAGAGATATCTGTTCTTCAAAATTTGGTCTTTAAATACGGCGATGCATGACTTTTTGAAAATATGAGAAGATTGCGAGTAGTTTTCTGTAAAATGAAGACAATTTTAAAAACAAGATTTTCTCAAAACCCACTTCAAATATTTTCTCAAATTGTTTTCTCGAAGCAAAGTACTCAGAGCAAGCTCTCTAGACCAAAGTACGGTTATAAAAATAAACTCTGCACTTTCAAAATTTGCAAAAATGAAACATTGCAAAACTACAATATTGTTGATAGAGATCTGAATTAAATTTGTTCTAAAAATTAATATTTAAATAGGGAATTTTTTCTATATTTCTTTGAAATGTTTGAGTCGTTTCGCCATCGCAGATTGAAATATTGCAAATGTTGATCTCAATGATGTACTAATAAGTAATCCTATTTCCGTAGTTCTCTCGATGTATTTTCTGCTGACCGCTTCCTGGTTTTGGCTTACGGCTCTCTGTGTGAACATGGCGCAGGGTTTCAGGTAAGATCTGCATTATTAACTTTCTCGGGATCTACAGAATATTTACAGTATTTTGTATTCGAAAGTACCGAGGAGCGCAAACTGTTCGTCAACGCTGGTCGTTTTTACTTTCTCGTCCTTAAGAAAAGGTTTTGTAATGCTGCGGAGAAAACCGGTTAATTTTCTCCAGAATAACTCTTTCTTACAGGGATGTGGTAACGAAAAATTGGATAAATTCTGTTGGTTTACTTAAAAGAACTAGTGATGTTAAAATCACATACTTTCTCGCATCGTTTTAAGTATTAACTAGCTATATTATACTACTACATAAACTTGCAAAAGGGTTTTCAACCAGCAACAATTTACTTCCGCTCTGAGCCCCGAACTCTGCTCCTCAGAGTTAACTTGCCGACAGTCATACCACACACAAATACGCCGTATGGCGTGAACCTTCGTAAAAGTGAGAAGCAGTAATATTCGGAACAGTAAGGGACACCACACTAAAAGGGAAACTTAGTTGGTTCCACGGGTATTGAATGAATTTAAATTTCATGTTGATAAATTCGGTAGTTGAAGTCGATAGATTAAGTAGATAGAAGTAAGAAGAGGAAGTAGATAGAAGTAGATAAAGTAGATAGATTCACTAAAGCAGTGGCACAGCGACTCCGTTACCTGTCCATAACGTTCCCCGTGCCTCTGAAGCGCTGAATTAATCTACAAATTGTTGACTTGTTAAGATCTGGCGTTTCGGAAACTTCTTTTGATACATTATCGGACTCTTTGAAAAATATTTAGTGCCGATGTAAACGTCCACCAAAAATTAATGTTGATTCTTCGTGATCATTTTCGAAGCAATTCTTCTTGACATGAGTTTCTCTCTAAACATGAGTTCCCCTCTAAACATGAGTTCCTACGATCATGAATGAACAAAAGGACAAAGTGCCTTCTCTTTCTTCCAACTGAAATAGCACCGTTCGTCCATCCCGAAATGTGAGGGCACGCGACCGTGGGTAGTTGAAAGTGAAAGGCATACCGAAGGTATTATCTTTAATCTTACTTTACATTTAATTCACAATAACAGTATGCTTCTATGCTACCAACCGGAGCAACTTAATAATTTTGGTCTAAGATCCTACCCTCTTAATTGTACAGAAAATTAAATACATTTATGCGCTATTGGGGTAACTAGTGTTATTGGCGTAACAACCTTGTTGATCATGTGTATTGGATTACTAAATAATAAAAAAATATTTCTGAGAACAAAAGGAATAATCACGAAGACATAAAAACGAATTTTTATGGCTTCTGGCATGGTAACATAAACATTATTTCAGGCTCACCTGTTCCTCTAATGATATACGAAATCTAGTCATTCTACAAAATCATGATCTCTCGTGTATGAATATTATGTTCACAGCTGTGAATCCTTCCTACACAAAACTATCATTTCTTTTTGTCAAATCACACGTAAAAACACTTGTGATTTTTTTAACTATTAATAATACGCCTTATATTAACAATAGAATAGTACACATATTGACTGCCCGTAATTATGCTTATTCATAAGTCAAAAAACATTAAGAAAAATATCTTCATGTTTTGTGCTAGTTGTCCTTTATTAAACAAAGTGATGTTTCCCTGAAATCATTCTTTACACTACTCGAATTGTTCGCCGTCATTATCATCATCCCCCTGGTGTTACTTATTCTGATTTTCATTACACAGTTCCGACCGCCCTTCAAACCCGTATTGCACTGAATACTTGCTTCCCTCGCCTGAAGGCCGTGTCGCTCCTGGTTGATTCCTTCCCTGCTCCCTCACTCGGCCGCCCTCCGCTGTCCACCGCCGTCTGCGACGCACAATACTCAACAATAACGATGAATAATCAGCTCCGCATTAATCTCTTCACGATTTTTAAACAATTCAGTACGATCCCATTTTCTGTACAGTCACGAACCCATTCACTACACATAGTTTCACATTGAGCACGTAAGTAATTAGAACAATTATCACGGCACCGTGCTCATTTATCTCGTCCTTGCGATTTCCTATATTCGTTACCATTGTAAATGTTTAATCTGGAACCAAACATTATTTATTAGATTGACGCGCCGTGAATCTGCCAAGTGGTGTCCCACCACAATTACTCTCAATCCTGGTAATGTTCACTCATTCACAGCACGCGTTGATATAGTCCCAAATTGCATTTTACGCTCCTATGTTCAGCATTTTACCAAATTAACAGTCACCGGGTCCGTAATGGCGTAATTACCGTAGCTCTGGCACCAATTCTATTCTCACATCTGCTTTTCCACGTGGCGGTCACTCGCATCACTTTTAATGTAAAAATATATATGAAAAACAAAATTATTTGTAAATATATGTAAAAACCTTATATACCTAACATGTATATCGATGGCAACTTGCCATTTCAATTATATATGTATTGATCTATTCAAAACCTTGAGAAATTGTAAAAATTGAACAGGTATAAATAAAAAAAAGGAATTTATTTAGTTTCTTTCTTTTGTTTAGGTTGCAGGCGGCGGCACCTTCTAAGAGGAGTGGAAAAATGAAATTCCTCTTATTTTCTGGCATCGCATGGGGGTTGCCCGTCGCCATGACAATAGCATGCTGCTTCTTGTTCACTCCACCAATTGATTTTGTCACGCGTAGTACCACACCTTGGTATTCTCCATCTCTTATGGAAGCAAGAATGTGCTACAACGAACCTTTCCATCTTAGCCAATTAGGTACGTACCCGTTCAAGTTGCCTCCAGTAGCAAAAATGCTGCTGAACAAATCTCTACAAAGTACGGAGTAGTTTTCCAAACAACAATGGAACAAAGAAGTCTTCACCAGTACGTCAATACTATTACGTATAACAATTCTTTACTCATCAAGAGAATTACAAAAATGTCTATTAAATAACGCAACTCGAAGGGCAAAATGGAATGGCATGCAGTCCCGTCCTTGGAGGCTTGATTTGGCATGTCGTAAACAGCGACGCGCAAAGTATGGGGATTCAGACGGTGTGAGAACAGATGTAATAACACAATCAAACATTTGCAATTTTCATTCAAAATTCTATCGGTTTAATTGTTTTGTAGTTTTCGCGGCTTGCTGGGTATCTAAAAAAGCCA